ACACGACGACGACACAACCATCCCGATGGCCTCCATGATCCCAAGGAACCACACGTCAGTGACATGATGAGGGTGAAAAGGGATTGAGAAAAAATGGTGATGGACCCCTCCATTTGAGGGATTGAGAAAAATTATAGGAAAAGTGGATTAAGAAAGGGGATATGCCGAAGCATTTTTTTGCTTCAATCCTCCCACCCTATTGAAAGGTCCTAATAGCTAGAGGGGGAGGTTGAATAGCTTATTAAAAAATTTCTACAACAACACTTAACAAACCGATTAGACAATTATGAGGTGAAGCAAGTGTTGCGCTAGCCTACTTAAAATACAAGCCACCTACCACAATTCTAGTTTCTATAGTTTCTTTTCACACAATGGCTATGTCACTACACTAAGTTAGTGTGCTCTCAAAGACTAACTAAACAACCACACTAACCAAACTAACAAGCTCTCACAACTAGCTAAACTAAAGAGCTTGATAACTAGTTTGCGGTAATGTAAAGAGAGAGAGAGTAAGATGGTTATACCGCCGTGTCGAGGAATGAACCAATCAATCACAAGAATCAATATCAATGAAGACCAATCACCTCGGGATCAAATATGACACAACGATTTTTTTACCGAGGTTTACTTGCTTGCCGACAAGCTAGTCCTCGTTGTGGCGATTCACTCACTTGGAGGTTCACGCACTAATTGGCATCACACGCCAAACCCTCAATAGGGTGCCACACAACCAACACAAGATGAGGATCACACAAGCCACGAGCAATTCAGTAGAGTACCTTTTGGCTCTCCGTTGGGAAAAGGTCAAGAACCCCTCACAATCACCACGATCGGAGCCAGAGACAATCACCAACCTCCGCTCGACGATCCTCGCTGCTCCAAACTGTCTAGGTGGCGGCAACCAACAAGAGTAACAAGTGAATCCCACAGCGAAACACGAACACCAAGTGTCTCTAGATGTAAACACTCAAGCAATGCACTTGGATTCACTCCCAATCTCACAAAGATGATGAATCAATGATGAAGATGAGTGTGAAGGCTTTGGTTAAGCTCACGAGGTTGCTATGTCAATGCAAATGGCCAAGAGAGTAAGATTGAGCTGGCCATGGGGCTTAAATAGAAGCCCCCATGAAATAGAGCCATTAGCTCCTCAGTTCACTGAAAAATCGGGGCGACCGGACGCGCCGGTTAGATTTGACCGAATGCAGGACCCCAGCGTCCGGTCGCCCGATGTTTGCCACGTGTCATCGGCTTCAAACGCTGATCACCCAATCTCAACGGTCATCGGAGCACTTAAGTTGTGACCGGACGCGCTGCTCGAAGTGACCGGACGCACCAACACCAGCGTCAGGTCGTTTCCAGTAAGGTTCCACTCACGACCGAACGTGTCCGATCACGTCCGACCGGACGCAGGACCCCAGCATCCGGTCACTTCCAGTAAGCTTCTAGAGGTGGAAATTCGCGACCTGACGCGTCCGGTCGGTCATGATCGGACGCAGCACCAGCGTCCGGTCCTTTCTCTTCTTCTCTGTGCTGCCACGTCAGCGGGACCGGACGCACCCACTCAGCGTCCGGTCACGAAGTGACCCAGCATCCGATCGAGGACCAATGCCAGCATCTTCACTACTTCTACTGACCAGACGCGCCGGTCTAGTTGAGGCCAACGTCTTCACTCTATGAAACCCTGTCTTTTATGTACAGAGCGCCGGTGAAGTTCCGAACCCTTGCTTCCAAGTGCTAAACACAATGTGTATCACCTTTGTGCATGTGTGTTAGCATATTTTCACAATCATCTTCAAGGGTGTTAGCACTCCACTAGATCCTAAATGCATATGCAATGAGTTAGAGCATCTAGTGGCACTTTGATAACCGCATTTCGATACGAGTTTCACCCCTCTTAATAGTACGGCTATCGAACCTAAATGTGATCACACTCACTAAGTGTCTTGATCACCGAAACGAAAAGGCTCCTACCACTTATACCTTTGCCTTGAGCATTTTGTTTTTCTTATACTTCTTTTCCAAGTCCAAGCACTTGATCATCACCATGGCAACACCATCATCATGTCATGATCTTCATTTGCTTCACCACTTGGAGTAGTGCTACCTATCTCATAATCACTTTGATAAACTAGGTTAGCACTTAGGGTTTCATCAATTCATCAAAACCAAACTAGAGCTTTCACCTGTTTTTTTGCTCAGTACAGAGAAAGGGGACTACTTTTACTCAATTGGGTGGAGTTGCTCCATGTTACCTACTGATCCAAGGATTAACACATGATGCATGAAAAGGGACCCTACCATTTTAGAACTTTGATTGTCTAGTTTGAGCTTCAAATAGCACTAGTGGTAACTTAATCTTCAAGTTATTCAGGACTAGTTAAGTCTCGTTTGGCACAGCTTCTCTATTGGCTTCATGAGCCTTTTGAAGCTGTTTTGTGCCAAACAGTTATTTTTAATATAGCTTCACACGTGAAGCTCCTTAAAACGTGCTCTCACAAGGGATTGGTGTGGGATGAAGCTGAAAATAGCTCATTCTCTCAGCTTCAACTTGCTCTATGGGCCTGACGGACCAGGGTCCTAGGGGTTCCCCATAGGGTCAACTACTTGGCTAGGCCCTGGGCTGTCCCATGATCTGCTGAAGGACAAGAGGCAAGGTGACATGGTCTTCAAACTATTCAAGATCAACTTAGTCGGCTTACCAAGAAAGCTAGATTCTGTAATAGGACTAGGACTCTTCTATTGTAACCGACTAAGACTAGATACGTGCCCCTACCCTTTGTCCTATATAAAGAGAGGTATGGTGCACCCTCTTGTATACACAATCATACAAATAGTCCAACGCAAAAGGCCTCACGCCGCACTGGACTAAGGTATTATGCGCATCGCGGCCTAAACCAGTATAAATCATCATCTCTTTGCGTTATCCGCCGAGTTCAGCGTACGTTGAAGCCCACCAACCATCATCCCGGGTAACCCCATGATGAGTTGCCGGTCATCAAACACCGACAGCTGGCGCGCCAGGTAGGGGCTTTCGGCGACTTCATGATTGATAGCTCTACGGACCTCGACAACATGATTTTCCCAGCGGGATCCACCTTCGTCTTCGACTCTTGGATCTGCACGTCCGACAACCACGGCCAGCTCCAAAGTCACCTCATGGAGATCCCGGCGCCTCAAGCTTCTCCAGCATCTTCACTGGATCTTCTCGTCGAGAAAATTTCTCAGTTTTTGATTTTTCAATCTAACTCGGACTCGGGAGGCCACGGAGAATCAAGACTCCCACTCGGACACGAGCAACCTGTCCGAGTTGGAGAACCCATCTGATGCCTGCATCAAAGACCCGAGTCGTTTTCCACTAGGACTCAGAAATTCAGCTTCTGTCTTCCAGGAGTCGATCTAGCACCTCTTGCTATCAGAGCAGGAGATCCCATTGACAGGTGCCCAGAAGGGTTTGGTCCCGAGGGAGGCATCATCCTTCTCGTCTAGTCGGCATGGTAGAGCTCCTGCCTTACCAAGACGGCAGCGCTCTTCCATCTAACGACGACGACGGCTCCACAGAGATCTTAAACAGCGTGACGATTGCAGAGTCCGGGACCCATACCGCGCCAAGACATTCCAGAGAAATCTTCATGGCTGGACAACCACCTCAGATCCCCATGCCACAAGCTCCTGATATTCAAGATGGAGAAGAGACTTTGTCTAACATCTCGCCGGATGCACCCGCACCCGAAAACAAGACAGACGGCTAGGGAGAAGAAGAACAAGGCACGATAGGCCCGTCGTAACCGAGCCCAACACCGCAAGGAAGAGTGGGAACGGTACTAGTCGGCCTGCCGTGAAGTTGAACGACAACGCTTGGATGCGGAAGCCGGGGCCGAACAACACCAACTGCGTAGCATTCCGTGGGATCATATTTTAAGGCCTAAGACAGCGTCAACTCTACGAGTTGAAACCAAGAAAAATTGGTTCATTAGTGAAGTAGAGCTATACCAAACATGCCTTACTTGCTCACGTGGAGACAATTTTTTTTTTGTATAATCTCGAAGAGAGTTGATCAAATGCTTGTATCACAATATATCTTCTTCAATATTGTTTGGCTTTGATTGATATGTAGCCTGTTCGGTTGGCTAATTCGTATCGTTGCTGGTTCGTGAAGAAGTACTGCTGGCTGGTTTGTGTGAGAGAAAAATACTGTTCCGGCTGGAAATTTACGATCGTATACGACAAGCACAAGCCAAACGAACAGGCTGATGATTGCACTCTATATGCTATGTCTAGAATTTGTAAGTGCTTTGTGATATAGTACCTGCGAAGCTTTGTCACTTTGCACTCAACTTGCATATCATGGTTTGTCAGGGGGATTGTTTGCATTGCCAAAAAGGGGAAGAAAGATACAAAAAAAGTCATGCTCTGTTTAGATTCCATGGTGAGTTAGCGTCTAAACTGTAGACCGTGAGATCGTTAACAATAGAGATAAACATAATTCCTTTTCGTAAAGCATATCTCCATTTTACTGATGGTGGTGAAAGCATATCACCATTTTTTCGTTGACCTAGACAGTAACTCCTAAAGAGTCATTCTTTTGAAGAGCGTATCAACTACCAGTTTCCCCTGTTCTATTATTGGCTTTCTTTTCTAATAAGAACGCTTTATTTCCTAAATTCCCAACCATGCGTATTGTTTCTCCTCCTTTGTCCATTTATATTGTTAAGTGCTACAATGCTATACTGCTAGTGCTTGGTGTCTGGTGGTCTTTTTTTGATGCTGGCGATGCTGACAAGGACGATGGCAACCTGCCATTATCATATCTCCAGGTCCATGTCTCCTGTGCAAGTGAATCGAATCGGAGTCACTTATTATCAGTCCTATACAGCATGACGAGACTGGACAGTGATTCTCAGAGAGACGACAGATGAGCAAAGTAACAAAGCAGACACAAAGAAAGACACAGCCACACGAGCAGGCCTGGCCAAGCGAAGAAACACCCCAGGACCCCAATGGCGGACGAGTCATGGAGGGTGCCTAGCATAGTGCAGGAGCTGGCGGCCACCGTGCATGAGCCGCCGAGTCGGTACCTGATCCCCGAGCAGGACAGGCGCGATGACCAGCTCGCCGGTGCGGAGATGCCGGACCCCGTCCCGACCATCGATCTCCAACGCCTGTTGGCGTCCGACTCTGCCGACGAGGAGGCTACCAAGCTGCGCTCGGCGTAGCTGAGCTGGGGCTTCTTCTTGGTCAGCCTTCTAGTTTCGCGTTCTTCAGCTCCCCACACCAAATCACCAGCTTCATCATGTAAAAGAAAGTAAACTTTGTTTCTTTTCTCCAGGCTACGAACCATGGGATCGCGACCTCTGTGATGGACGCTCTGATGGCTGCATCACGCGAGTGTCACGGAATGGGTCTTATACCGTGCATAGTGTTTGGGCTACACTAGCTAATGGACCCATAAGCCGACTTGTACGTCGCAGAGGTGTAATTCCTGGGCTTAGTCCATTTTTGTTGTTGCACTCTCAGATAAGAACTCGCTGTGTGGGCGGTTGGACGGTCAGTGAATAAACTAAACCAAATTCCTGTTTCTCTTCTTCCCGAGACCTTCCTGCTATCGAGACGGTGCTGCCGGGCTTGCTCGCCGTGCGTGTACGCCGGCATCCCTATCATATCCTACCAGAATCGTAACATTTGGTTACCAGAGCCTTCTGAGTCCGTTGCCCAGCTTGGATTTGTAAAATCCCGCGGAGCAAATCTCTACGGTTGAATCCAGTGAAGCTTCACGATTGAATTCGATACAGATCCACCCCAAAGCCTTCGTACCAACCCAATCTCGCATCCGGCCGATCCGCTTAGTTGTCGCTCCGACGGGTTCGACGAGACCACCGCCACCGCCACCACCACCACCACCTCCGCCGCCGCCACCACCGTTTCCCCAATCGCCACTAGCGCGCAAGCCCAAACCTCCAACCCTAACAGCCCACATGGCCACCGCTGAGGAGAAGCTGGATGCGCTTGCGGCGCATGCTCCTGCTCATGGAGACCTTCAATCGATGGCGCCCCAAAGTGGACAATTTCGCCACCGAGCTCACTAAGGACGTCAAGGCTCTTACATCGCGCGTTGAGGCGTTGGAAGCAAAACCTCATCCTGTTCCGTCTCCGGCCCCGCTGCGCGAGGAAGAGGGGCGGGCCAAGGGCCACGGCGCTACAACATCTCCACAGGGGGCTGATGCGGGAACCTTGGTTCCCCAGCAACCCCTCGCCAATGGTCCGTACACTGTCTCCACTTCCCACATCCCTACTGAGACCGCTGATATGCCACACTACTATCATGCTCATCCACACCATACTTTTCGTTTGCCCAAAGTTAATTTCCCTAAGTTTGATGGTTCCCATCCTAAGGTGTGGAAGGAGAAGTGTGAAAAGTATTTCAACATGTATCATGTTCCAGTTCATCTGTGGGCTGAATTCTCCACTATACACTTTAAGGGTTCTGCTGCTTTATGGTTACAAACTTATGAGGCTCAGCACCGTGTTGATAGTTGGATCGAACTCTGTGTAGCTGTCGAAAGTAAATTTGGCAAGGATCTGTATCATAAGTCTATGAATGAGTTACTTCATATTAGACAAACCACTGTTGTGCAAGACTACTATGATAGGTTCCAGGTTGTCATGCAGCAAGTCCTAGTTCATAATAGCTCTCTAGATGATGTTTTCTTTGTTAGCAAGTTCCTACAGGGTTTAAAACGACATTCGATCTGCACTAGTCTTACATATGCCTAGGACTGTTGATGTGGCACTATCTCTGGCACTGTTGCAGGCTGATGTTCTGGAGGCCCAAAGCAAGACTTTCAACAAGTATCAAGTCAAGCACACTCCAAATCCTCAGCCTGGTGTTCTGGGCACACCTCTTGCTGAGGACACCAATCCGAAATGGGAAGAAAAGTTGGCTACATTACGAGCTCAACGTCGCGCACAAGGTCTCTGCATGAAGTGCGGGGAGAAATGGGGCCGCAACCATACGTGCCCAGATAAGATTTCATTACAAGTTTTGGAAGAATTCATGGAAATCTTGCCTGATGAATCTCCAACAGATCAATCCTCTGACGATTCCAGTGACGATGAACTAGTGTTTTCACTCTCACAGTGTGCAGCTGTGGGTGTTCAGGGTAGGAAAACAATTAAGCTCAATGGGCTCATTCATGATCAAGAAATTCTGATCCTCATCGATTCTGGAAGTTCAAGCACTTTCATCAGTGAAACCACCGCTGCAGCATTGCAATGCACAATCAGTCCAAAGACCACCAATCCAAGTGGATCGTGGCCAATGGTGACAAGTTGCCGAGTAACAAGCGGTGCTCAATTTCACATGGTGGACACAGGGTCACACCTTTTGCACTGATGCTAGAATTTTGCCCATGCCCTATTATGATCTTAGGAATGGATTGGTGGGAGAAACACAACCTCATGTGGATACATTGGAAGAGGAAGTTGCTGAGGTTCTCCTATCAAGGCAGCCGAATCAGCTTAAAAGGGGTCAAAGATTCCTTGTCTAGCTGTCCAAAAGTGAAAGTAAGAAAGCTCAAAGGACTTCTCAGGAAGGGAGGTGTTGCTCAGTTGATCCATCTGTGTCCTGTGACGCAATCGTCGGACAAAGATTCATTTCCTGAACCGGTGCAGCAATTAGTGGATAGTCAGGCTCATATGTTTAAAGACCCAAACTCTTTGCCACCTTCCAAGCAGTTTGATCAACAGATTCCGTTATTACCCGGCGTCAAGCTTGTCAACATCAAGCCCTACCGCTACTCTCCGACACAGAAAGATGAAATTGAGCGTCAAATCCAGAAAATGCTCACCAATGGTATTATCAAGCCGAGCCAAAGTCCTTTTGCCTCTCCGAAGATCTTAGTCAAAAAAGAAAGACAGGACGTGGCGTTTTGTGTGTTGACTACCTAGCTTGAACAATATCACGATTAAGAACAAGTATCCACCGCCGGTGGTAGATGAGCTCTTGGACGAATTGAGTGGAGCCGACTGGTTCACAAAGTTAGATATGCGATCAGGCTATCACCAAATTCGGCTATGTTCTAGAGATGAAGCAAAAACAGCCTTCAGAACTCATAGCGGGCATTGGGAATTTAGGGTGATGCCGTTTGGGCTCACCAATGCACCGGCTACCTTTCAAGCTCTCATGAACACTATTTTCAACCTCTACTATGGAGTGTGTCTTGGTCTTTGTTGACGACATCCTCATTTACAGCCCAACATTGGAAGCTCATGTGCAACACCTCCAGCAAGTCTTTGCCATCCTCAATGAACATCAGTTACTGCTCAAACGGTCCAAATGTGCATTTGCTCAGCAAACACTGGAATATCTTGGCCATATTATTAGTGCACAGGGCGTTGCAACAGACCCCAAAAAGATAGAGGCCGTGGCTAGTTGGCCGCCACCTTCTAACACCAAACAGTTGTGAGGATTTCTTGGCCTATCCGGATACTATAGAAAATTCATCAAAGGCTATGGACTTCTGAGTCGACCTCTCACAGATCTCTTGAAGAAGGACGCCTTGTTTCATTGGACCCCGCAGCTGCAGTTGTGCTTTGACAACTTGAAAAATGCACCCATCTTAGCCCCAGTCTTGGCATTGCCGAATTTTAACAAGGCTTTCACAATCGAGACAGATGCCTCCGCTACAAGAATTGGTGCCGTGCTGTCTCAAGATCAGCATCCCATCGCCTATCTGAGCAAAGCGTTGGGTCCAAAAGCTCAGGCACTCTCAATATTCGAGAAAGAGTGCATGGCACTCATCATGGCTGTCACCAAGTGGAAGTCTCATCTTCAGCATAAGGAGTTTACTATAGCCACAGACCACAAGAGCCTCATCCATCTTGGGGAACAGAGGTTACATGAGGGCATGTAACTGAAAGCTTTTATTAAACTGCTGGGTTTACAATACAAAATCTTGTACAAAAAGGGCCTTGAGAACAAAGCTACAGATGCCCTGTCCAGGCAAGCTGAGCCTTCATCTCTGGCGGCTATCTCAGCCAGCACACCAAAGTGGTTAGAAATCATTCTGGAGGGATACCAGCAGGATGACCAGACAAAGCAACTTTTAACCGAGCTGAGCATTACTGGGTCCAATGACAAAGGGTTCACTCTAAGTGATGGTTTGATCAAGTACAAAAATAGAATCTCGTTGGGAAACCATAAGGAAGCTGACAAAGAGGTCGTCTTACTAGCTCTTCACTCAAGTGGCTTGGGAGGGCACAAAGTGGCATTATAGACACATATCAGAAGGTGAAGTCACTATTTGCTTGGCCAAATATGAAGCAATTTATCACAGATTACATTAATGCTTGCGAGGTATGTGCTCAAGCTAAACCTAAACACTGTAGATTACCTGGTCTATTGCAACCACTGCCTGTTCCTACTCATGCTTGGCACACCATTAGTTTGGATTTTATTGAGGGCTTGCCTAAATCCAAAAACTTTGACACTATCCTAGTTGTCATTGATAAACTCACAAAATATGCACGCTTCATCTGTTTAGCCCATCCCTATACTGCTTTATCCGTAGCCAAAGCTTTCTTAGCCAATGTGTACAAACTGCATGGCATGCCTTCCATCATCGTATCCGATAGGGATAAGATTTTCACTAGTGCCCTCTGGCAAGAACTATTCAAGCTCACCGAAACCACACTCAATATGAGTTCTGCCTACCATCCACAAACTGATGGCCAAACAAAACGCTTGAATCGGTGCCTTGAAACCTATCTACGCTGCATGGTGCACTCCTGTCCCCAGAAGTGGGCACAGTGGATTCCTTTGGCCGAGTTTTGGTATAGCACCACTTATCACTCTGCACATGGGCATACCCCCTTCGAAGCGTTGTATGGCCATCCTCCCAGACACTTCGGCATCACCGCTTCTGACACTTGCACAATTACTGATCTGGATGACTGGCTTCAATCACGAAACACTATGATGCAGCACATCCAACACAATTTGGCTCGAGCACAGCAACGCATGCAACATCAAGCCGATAAGCATCGCCAAGAAAGAACTTTTGCTGTTGGTGACTGGGTTTATGTTAAACTGCACCCACATATTCAACAGTCAGTCCAGCGCAGATCCAATCAGAAGCTCAGCTATAAATACTTTGAGCCTTACCTTATTCTGCAAACTGTTGGCAATGTTGCTTATAAGTTACAACTTTCAGCCACC